GAACTGACAACATGGATTGTACCATTCTTGGGGTCTAAGGCGGCTGGCGGATTTGGGTTGCTGGCAGGAAGGGCTACGGAGAAGAGGGGCTTAGGGTTTAGGGTTTAGAGTTTAGGGTTGAGGGTTGCTGAGGCTTTGCAGATGGAAGGGTCAGCACGATTGATTAGGATGTTCACGCTCCAGCGTTCTATCTCGGAATGCCGATGGATGGCACAGGTTCTGGAGTCTTCAGTTTAGGAGAGCCACAAACAAGGCATCAACAAAAATGCTACCCCCCCCCCCCCACCCCCTAAACCCTAAACCCTAAACCCTAAACCCTAAACCCTAAACCACTCCCCTTGTGCGGAAAAATGCCTGAAAAGGTGTCCGACGGGCTTTTCCTCGAGATCGGTGCAAACCACCCCTCCACCATGTCCAACACGCTCCTCCTGGAGGCCACCTCAATCCTTGCTTTTAAAGTTTAGGGTTTAGGGTTTAGGGTTTAGGGTTTAGGGTTTAGGGATTAGGGTTTAGGGTTTAGGGTTAGGGTTTGGGGTTTTTTGCTCGGGGTTTGCTTGCTAGCCCAGCCCAGTGATGCCCTTTGGGCCCCTTTCTTGGGCGAGTCCAAGGCTCCCTTCTCAAGTAGCCAACCCTAAACCCGAAACCCTAAACTCGAAACCCTGGCTAGTGTGCCACCCCGGGAGTTTTTCTGTGCTCGTGGACTTGGATGCCTTGGACCTGGGATGGGATCTTGACAAGTTGAACCCGCTTTATACCAACAGTCCTTAGTAGGGATTATGGTAGGGGGTACTAGAGTCCCTATTAAGGACTGTTAGTATAAGCCCTAAACCCCAAACCCTAAACCCCAAACCCTAAACCCTAAACCCTAAACCCTAAACGTCCCAACTTGAACCTTAGTTGCGGGTTCTTGGAAGCATCCTCCCGGTGAAGCTTGTGCGCTGTGGGTTCAGCTGGAGGGCCTCCCCTCCATTCGGCTCTTACCGGAAACTCCCCTAAACGCCGGAAAATTTCAGGGTTTAGGGTTTTGGGGTTTTTAGGGTTTTTAGGGTTTTAGGGATTTGGGGTTTTGGGGTTTTAGGGTTTTTGGGGTTTTAGGGTTTTAGGGTTTTAGGGTAGCCTAAACCCTATACCCCAAATCCTCGTCACATCCCCCGATGCCTTTTCAGCCAAAGGTGGCCGGCTGGAGGGGTGTCTGCGTCGGAGGCTTAGGGGTGGCGTAGGTGTTCAGATCACTGCTACTAATTGCTTAAACACCCCGAAAAAGTGACACACATACTTCCTTTTTAAGGGTCATATAGGGACTATTGTTTTTTTTATTCTTTTGGATCATAGGCCTTTGTTACATTTTCGTTTTCATCCTGAGCCGCCCACTTGTCACAACTCTTACATGCGCAAGGACGCACACACGCACACGGACACACATGAATTGAAATGTACGTGCACACTTGCATTTATGTAGCACTTCGCTCGTGTATGCACCGTGTTTATCATGATGCAGCGCCTTATGCTGACAAGTTCACAAGTCACAACAAGCGCCCCTGATGTGCAAATGTGCACTGTGCCTGATAAAACGAGAAAAGTTAAAACAGTCCAATCGATGAAGCAGCTCAGGGATATCCACTTTGCAAAGTGGACTAGAGGTTTTCACGCACCCTGGTGCACCCAGTCCTTGGACAGCCATCTGCAGTGAGACTTTTGTTTAGGGTGCTTGTGGTTCTAGTCCAGGCCCCCCCGGATCTTCTTGAAAGCTCATGGGCACTTCTAGAGCATGCAACTAGAGCATGCAAATATACGCAAAAACTCAGCGCCCTAGACAAGGCTGAAGGAGGTACCTGCGACCTTAGTTGAACATCCAAAGTCGGGTTTATACAAGCCCGTAAAATTCAGAAACCCTAAACCCTAAACCCTAAACCCTAAACCCTAAACCCTAAACCCTAAACCCTAAACCACGACCCAGCGGAGCTTCGAGTCATCTCCGCAACGAGTTCTCAGGTGGAGCCCTTCCCCCGCGGAGACTGGCCGCCCGGCGGGCTGGCAGGGTTTAGGGTTGAGGGTTTCGGGTTTGGGTTTTAGGGTTTAGGGTTTAGGGTTTAGGGTTTAGGGCGAGGTGGCAAGCCTGTTGCAAAAGGGTTTAGGGTTTAGGGTTGAGGGTTTCGGGTTTGGGTTTAGGGTTTAGGGGTTCAGGGTTTGGGGTGTAGGGTTGAGGAGTTGAGGGTTGAGGGTGCGGGGCCCGGGCTTTAGGGTTGATTACTCTGTTGATTGGACGCAGCTATTTTCTGCAAAACGAGGGTGAGGGTTCAGGGAGGAGCGAGTCAGTGTTCAGGAGTATGATGAGATGTGAATGCTTGAGACATGGTCGCAGGTCTGTACCTGCACCCTTGACCCACGCAAACATCTACATCTTAACGTCTCAAAACCTTCCGCAAGCCCTAAACCGTTTAAAGGATCTCTATCCGATATACACCCAGCGACGAGGAGCCGGCGCTCTGCACAGCTGGTGATCGCGGCCGTGGGCGCTGTAGATGGCGGCAGGCTGGATTTTGTGGAGGAGACCAGAGGGGGAGGCTTGGGACCCTATCTACCCCGAAATACTCCTGATACACGGAATATGCCTCAAAACCACTTTAAGGATCCCTATACAGTTTAAGGTATATATTCCTCAATTAAGCGGCATTGGGCTCTCTAAATAGAGGCCTTTGAACCAATGCAATGGGTTTAGTGTTTATGGCTTAGGGTGCATCGCAACCGATGCAATGGTTCGAGCCATGCAGTAGGGTGTAGGGTTTACAAGGTTTAGGGTTCATACTTTTTAGGGTTTAGGGTTTGGGGTAGTGCTGTGCGTCCAGGTCTTGCACGATGGAAGAACACTTGGCCATGCTTAGGAATCTCCACTATGATATCTTGCGAGATGATCATGTTGTCCTCAATTTTTGAGACTGTGCCTGTCGATTGGCTTGCTAGAGTATGGGAGTCCAGTCAGTAGCACTTGAACCCTGTGCTTGGGCAGCTTCTGGCAGCACCCACAGGAGTCCGGATTGAAAAGGGTTTAGGGTTCAAGGGCTTCGGGCACCAGGGCGGCGTTCGCCTTGCCGGGCTCCGTCTGGGGTGGCCTGCTCTCCAGCGCCTCGGCTGCCTGGGTTCACAAAAAGGGTTTAGGGTTTAGGGCTTCTAGCTAGAAATTTCAGATCTTCCTCTTTAGAACTACTTCAGAGGCTTTCCAGGATCCTTCAAAACGTCTGCTCCTTAGCACAAGCATGTTGACGTCGGTTCTTGCGCGTTTCGTCTTTTCTTGCAGATCGGGCTTGAGACTTCTGAAGTTTGAGGCTTCAAAAGGCCTCATGCTAGACACAGCCTACATGCAACGCTTCAGCCTTTGGCCCGCATCTCTCCGAAAGTTCGGTGTTTTTTTGAGGTATGGATCCGAGCTGCTTGGCTGAAAGTGTGCGGTTTAGGGTTCAGGGTTTAGGGTCACTTTTTAAGTGTGCAGGCCACGTCGGTGCAGCTGCCTCCAGCTCAGGTAACGTGAAGAGGTTGGACAGGGATTATCCGAAGGCGGGGCCCAGAACTGAACCCTAGTACCCTAGCCGCAAAAGCCACAAAAGCCTCACAGCCACGCCGAAGGAACATGTGCAGGTCGCTGAGGTCGACACCAGGAGCTGCCGTCTCGTCCCTTCTAAGTCGCTAAGTCACGAAGTTTCAGGAATTGAGGTTGGGCATGTGCCGCTCAAAGATGATGGTTTGCAAGAGAAGATCTTCGGGACGTTCACGACATAAATTCACTCTCAAAGCCCCGAAGACACCCAGGTGGATCAGGCCCTCCAACAAGTTTTCGCCCAGCTCACATGCCCTGAGGAGCATCGCGGCGATCCTGAGGGAAGCGCTTCCCCAGGAGCAGCCGGCCCAGAGAAAGGCCCAAGCTATTGCTGTTGGAGAGGGGCCGGAACCCCACCTGATCCCATACCATCACTACTGGCGAGCCCTTTGAGTCTGGGTGGAAAACAGAACGGGGTCGTCCGATCTTCAAATTCAGCTTCCCCTTATAGTACCTCGACATTGACACTTGCTTCCGGGATGTTACGCGCATGACCGGGTTCCATTTCGGCCCAGCAAGCATACCGTCCCATGTGAACCCCTCTCTCAACCAACAAGTTGCGTGTGCCTTGTTTACAACATGTGCCGGCCGGGCCTCATAGCCACAACTGCCTTCCCAAGCTCTGCACGAAAGGAAGGGGACAGAGCGGGGCATACGTGGCACGGCTTGAATGGGGCCTTGGGGACGACGTCCGGAAATCCGGAAACTCCACAAGATGGCATCAGGCAGCCCTCCTAAACGGGGGAAGGGTCAGGTGCGCTAAAAGAAAGAAAGGAGAGAGCGAGGTACCCAGTGTGATGAAGGAGCTGCCCTTCTTGTGGTCGCATGCGGAGTTTCCGGTTTTAGGGAATTCATGGCATCATCTGCAGCTGACTTCCAACAAGCGATGCAGGTGATTCACTTCATGTCCGTGGACACTGAAGGGTGCCAAAGCCTGCACTTAGGATTTAGGGTGTAGGTTCGGGTTTAGGGTTTCTAGGGGTTAGAGCTTAGGGTTTGGGGCTTGTTGCAGTTAGAGTTTAGGGTTCGGGGCTTCTTGCAAACAGGGTTTAGGGTTCAAAAAGAGCTTGTTGCCAAAATGGCTGAGGTTTAGGGATGAGTCAGCAAGTCCAGCTTGTAAAACACAAAACAAAAAGTCGTTAGGTTCCGGGGCATGTGCCTCACGAAGCTCAAACGGCAGAGCCTTTGCAGCGGCTCGAGACTAGGCGGATGATCCTGGACACAGCAAGCCTAGAGCTGTTGAGTCTTTTGGGACTTTGACCCTATGAGCCCAAGACCCCAAGTAGTAAGGCCTTTGTGCCACCAAACAGATGAAAAGCCTTACAGAATGGGGCTCTTAGGCCCTGAGGGTAGCAGATCTTTCGTTCAGCATGATTCTGCATGTTGTTGTAGGGGCACGACAGCGCGCATGACGCTCCTCACGCTGGATCCTGCATCCTTTCGCCGGCCGAAGGGCCAACAGTCCACCAGGCACTTGTACCTTGCAAACTGCGGCTACGGCAGGGGCGAGTCGGTAGAGACGGTCCTGGCCAGACTCGAACCTCAAGGGGAAGTTCTTGGCTTGCATGTGGGCGATGGCGGCGTCTCATACGCCAGCTTCTCGGATGCTTGCACCGCCGAGAAAGTGAAGGCAAACCTTGAGGGCTCGACCAGCTGGGTGATACGCTTTGCTGAGCTGAGCTCTGAGAGTACGTCAGGAGTGCTTCTTCCTGAGAGCGTGGAGGCAACTCAGCATGTAGAGGTGCCAGGTCTGCATGTGGTCACTGACTTCATAACGGACGAAGAGTCCGTCAGCTTACTGCGGGAAATCGATGCGCGGCCATGGGACACGAGCATCAAGAGGCGCGTTCAACACTATGGCCATGCCTTCGATTATGCAACTTTGAAGATCGCTGAACAGGGAACGGTGCCAACCATGCCTTCTTTTGCTGCAGAGGTCATATCCCGACTGAGAGACTCCAGTTTGATGCCCCATGAAGTGGACCAGCTTACGGTAAACGAGTATGAACCTGGTGTTGGAATTGCCTTCCACGTCGACGCGCACTCTGCATTTGAAGATGGGATTGCAGCCATCACCCTGGGCTCAGGAATTGTGATGGAGTTCCTTAGGGATTCTTGGGAATCTGTTTTTAATTTCTTGGGTACTGCAATTTCATAGAAACAGCTAAAGTGATCATTTTTGCTAGGGATCCCAAGTTCAGTATAGGTTCAGGAAGACGGACGCGACCAGCGGAAAGCTCTCCATGGGAAAGCACCATCGCATGGCACCTCCACAGGCTGGAGCTGAGATCTCGAAGCATGTCTGGCTCCCACCGAAGTCCTTGCTGATCATCAGTGGCTCGGTAGGCCCTCTTTTGGGACATTTTGCATTTTAGGGTTTAGGGTTGATGGTTTAGGGTTTGGGGCTACTTTTCAAGAGGGTTTTAAAGGCCATCCTAGGTGGTGAGGCTCGATTTGCCTGGCAGCACGGCATTGCTTGGAGAAAAACGGACTGCTTGAAGGAGGGTGAGGTGTTGCCGCGCTCACGCCGCGTCTCTCTCACCTTCAGACGAGCACGTTGCGGAAGGCCATGCGACTGCCAGTGGCCGGCACTCTGCGATAGCCAGACCCCAGAAGCCCATGCAATGCCAACGCGTGTTGGCTCTTCGGCGGCAGGCTGACCGACATGCATCGTCTTAAAAAGCGCATGTGGCGGCAGCATGTGCTGCAGGTCGCAATACGTGTGAAAGCCAATAAGCCACGGGTCTTTGCGGCTCGGGTAGGCTTGGTGTCCAGCAACCCCTCCGTCAAACGCAACAACTTGAAAGCAGTTCGAAGGTGGCAGCAACTAAAGCCCGAAATCGTCGAATCACAAACCTTCCTTCAGTCAAACCAACCTTCAGCACATTATGCAGAAACGGCCTAAAGTGCCCAAAAAGAGAAGGTCGGAGCTGGAGATTCTGCAGACATTCCCCTTCGACCGTGCCTGGCCGCAAAATGGTTGCTGGTGCCCCGTAGATCTAAGTTGAAGTTTGGGGCTTATGCTTCAAGTGTCCGCCCATTCAAGGAGACAGCCCTCCTGCAACGCCCTGACGAGTCAACCACCCTGCCGCCTGACCCCCTCCCCCCCCCCCCCCCCCCCCCCCCCCCCAAAAAAAAAAGCAGCCTTATACTGGCGCTACATATGCTCTGCAACCTTAATTAAGGTACGCCTGGATTCACGTTGGATAGTTGGCTCGGCCAAAACGCCCGCCCGTGCTTTCTTGGCGTATTCGGATGTGGGGGGCTCCGCCTCACTTGTGCTGTACTTTGTTCAGAGGTTTTTTGGGTTTTGGGGGGGGTTTTTTTAGGGTTTATAGGGTTTGGAAACTGAAACCGTCTGAGCCCTCAAATTTTCACCCAAGGCTACCTGCCTGTGGCGATTGCCGCGTGCACCTCAGCCCTTCAGCCCTTGCTTTCCGCAGCAGACCAGTGGTTTTCAAAATTCTAAACCCTTAAACCCTGGTGCTTTCATGGGGTTTTACAGAAGAACACATTTGGTTCACCGTTTCAAACCCTAAACCCTTAACCCTTAAACCCTCCCTGCAGTTTTGCTAGAGTTGAATGAAAGACACATCTGGTTCCCCGAGAAGTTTTGGATGATTGGTCTGTCTGGAATTCCACCCCTGAAACCTCACCAGAGCGTGCAAAGCCGAAGCCTAGCCTAGCAAAAGGCTTAGGGTTTAGGGTTTAGGGTTTAGGGTTTAGGGTTTAGGGTTTAGGGTTTAGGGTTTAGGGTTTAGGGGGAAAGTCCCCCAAAAAGGTGGAGCATCTCCACTTCGAGCCCAAGAAGTCGAACACCCGAGCATTCCTGCAAGACCTGGGCCACCCGCCGTCGGGGGGGGGGGGAGCCCAAGTGGGTTTTTGCTTGGGTTTAGGGTTTAGGGTTTAGGGTTTAGGGTTTAGGGCTTAGGGCTTAGGGCTTAGGGTTTAGGGTTTAGGGTTTAGGGTTTAGGGTTTAGGGCTTTCGGGGTCTTAACTGTCAGGGTTCTGCTTTGGGATCATTTGTAATCTTCCCTTCCTCCTTGTAAGGGAACCTATTGTCGTTAACAGTTTTCAAAGGGTTTTAAAGCACAACTCAGGTGTACTTACGGGGTTTTAGCAACTTGGGGGTTCAGGGCTGAGGGGTTTGGGATTTTGGGCTGCTGTTTTAGGGTTCTGGCTTGCTTAAACTTGCTTAAACACATCCTAAATTCAAACCCTAAACCCGAAACCCTAAACCCTCAACCCCCCAAAGCCCTAAACACTGAACCGCTTTCAAACATCACGGACTCGCGGGGGCCAGGCTATGACCTCGATGTCGAGGCGCCTTGAAGGGCAGTTCGGCCTTCTTTGTGGGGGTTTAAGGTTTATAGGGTTTAGGGTTATTTAGGGTTTAGGGTTGTTGAGGGTTGAGGGTTGAGGGTTTGTGAGCCAAGGGCAGGAACCAGAAGCCTATACGATTCAGGGTTTCTCATGGCTTCGGGGTCGCAGCTTTGACCATTACTGATGAGAAGGAGATGGAGATAGACTTAGCCAACGACGACATAATATAGGGGTCCGAAGCATTACGAATAAACAATTACTTGTGGTCCCTATATGGATATGCTGGAGTAACCCCCAAAACCCTATTCTGATTGTTAAGGCCCCTATATTGGGCTGGGGTCCGCTTGTCTCCCAGCACAGGCAGAGCATGACGACCTTTTCTTGCTGAGAGGCTACGACCAGGTTCTAGCTTAGCGTCTTCGCTCCCCGCGATTTCTAAGCCCTGGGGGGCCTCGAACGATGTCCAGTGTGTACAAAGCTGCACCCTTCACGGTTAAAAAGAGCTGCGCCTTCGCCGGCCTCAACGGGTTTTGCCAAGTGTCTTGGATCGAGAGACCTGGGTCGCATGTCGAAGTTCGAGGCACTGCTGTCACCAAGTCAGAAAGCCTTCCGCGCATGCTGAGCGCAGCCGGGTGGGCCTTGAACTCTCTTGCACGCTCCGCTCTTTCGGACCTGGAAGCCCTCAACCCGAAATCCTAAACCCTCAGCCCTAAACCCTAAACCCTCTGAGCTGCCCAAAGAGCCCAATATTGCTTAACTAAGGAACATTCCTTAAATCATATTCGGGATCCCTAATATGATTTAAGGGTATAATTCCTTAAATTAAGCAATATTGGGCCCTTTGAGCTACTCCTGCGCAGGACCTACCTCAGCAAGTGCAAGGAAGACTTGGACCGCGCCTTGCGATGACCGGGGGGCCGCGTTTATCGCGGCGTGGCCACCCGTGCGTCCGCCCCTTGTCGGGGGCTTACGCTTGGGAGCCCTCAATGGTTTAGGGTTTAGGGCTTAGGGTCGTGTATTTCTGGGGTGTGTTCAGTTCGGAATGCCTCCCCCCCACCCTGTAGATACCAAATGTCTCGTCGGGCTCCTCAAAGCAAGTTTGTTTGCGAAAAGTGCACAATCCATTCCCCTAAACCCCAAACCCTAAACCCTAAACCGTCATTCGCTTGTGCACCAAGGCATGTGCTGAACATGCTCTCCGCTTGCTCGCATTGAACGTAGTGCACGCAGCGCGTTCCACCGCAATGGTGGGACTTGTGTTCTTGTTGGGTTCATGGCCTCACTCTTTTTTTGGTTTTTGGCAGGCAAACTGCGCTTGCAGGATACGAAAGGTTTGCACAAGGCCCATCGAAGCTTACTAGGATGAAGTCGACGCGGTGCCTCTCCGGGCCCACAAGCAGGTCAGCGTTTCACCACTTCTGACTGAGGCTTTAGTTGGAATTCAAACACTGAGTCCAACCAGAAGCCATGCAAAGGCATCAAAGCGCTGCCAGAATTTTGGAAGGCAGGTACAGGAAGACTTAACAGGTTAATGGGATGCAGGAAGCGTGCGCTGCTCACTTCTCAAGCATTGTAGAGTTGGCAGGTTTTGATGCCCCGAGGCATCGAAATCGATGTCCTCCAGTTGGCAGTACGGCGCAAAGAAATACTGCCAGACATGGCGTGGCAGCAGAAAATAGACTTGCTTAATCCCCTCCCCTACATCTTCAGTCCCCAATTCTCAAGTGTGTATGTATGTATGTATGTAAGTATGTATGTATGTATGTATGTATGTATGTATGTATGTATGTATGTATACATATATCTATATAATCCACATAGAGAGAGATGTGTGTATATGCATGTCTAATCAAGCCCGACAAGCCTGCAGAGCTCAGTTGGAACCACGAACCCCTACTGCCTTGCATTCTGCAGCTTTGCAGGCTCGGAAGCCCCAAGTAAACCGTTTAGCAAAAAGGGTTTAGGGTTTAGGGTAACCCTACAGAAGCCCAATGCCCTGAGGAACCTGTAGCATCCGGAATCTCAGTTTCAGACCCTCACCTTCCACAAATCATGGCAGAACGAACCTCAAATTGATTCCCTTGGGCATGCCCATGATAGAGCGCCCGGCGGCATGCCCCCCCGGGCACTTTCGGTTGCGGTAGCTGCTAGGGACGAACACCCCAACCAACCACCAGCCCCGAAGCCTTGTTCCGCGAGTCTGATGGGTCGGTTTTGACACTCCGACCAGGCTATGGGCAAGGCGCAGAGATGCAATCCACCAGGGTGACTCTAGGGATCTACAGGATTGCAGACAGCTTTTGGCAAAGTGCGTTGGCCCAGCCGCCATGTCCAGGGGGAGGGGGGGGGGCGTCTCTGGCCAGTCTAACTTGCGGGATGGTGGACCTGGCGCAGGTAAAGAAAGCCCATCTCAAAAGCAAGCATCTTGGCTGCTGGTGCGCGAAGGTGTTAGCAAACGAGGGGAAATCTCTCCAAGGCCAAGGTATCAGCGAGTTTTTGGGGTGGTGTCTGGATCCATGAAGCACACCGGAAGACGCCTGATATTGTTGTCCCTTTATGAACGTAGAGGGGGCGTAGAAGCCCCGACGCCTAATCTGCCTGTAACCATCCTCTCAAACTCATCCACCTTCCTAAACCCTCAACTCTCAACCCTAAACCCCAAACCCTAAACCCTAAACCCTAAACCCTAATCCACCGTGCTTGCCCAGGAAGGCAAAAGCCAAGCAGGCGGCCGTGGTGCCTGTTCTTTGCGGGCTTTTTCCGGGAGTTGCTCAGTACCCTTGGGCTACATCTGCTTGGAGGTTCATGGTCCTTCTTAACCAATTGCAGCTGTACTTATAACCCACTTATCAGCCCCTTAAGTGCCTGAATATGGTTGTAAGTACAGGTAGAAGTACAGTCATAATTGGTTAGTAAGTACCATGAACCTCCAAGTATAGGGCAGTATAGGGCTGTTGCCCGCAAGATCCTGCGGTGGACAAAGCGTACGGCTCTGTTCCGGGCCCTAGCAACTCCGCCCCCCAGACCCTAAACCCTGAACCCTAAATCCTAAACCCTAAACCCAGAGCCCTCCAAGGCATTTGGGGATCCTGGGATGCTTGTTGCGGGAGGCGGCCAAAAAGAAGGACGAGGACGCCAACGACGTCTCGCTTGAGCCGCCCAAAGAGTCAAGACACGAAATGAAGAGGACGGGGGAACATAACCTCTTCGGCGTGTGACAGTGCCCACCCCGTCCCTTCAACCCTGAACCCACATCCCAAGCAGTTTCCACAACAAGGATGGCTGCTGTAGGTTGGGATGTTCCTTCTTATACTAACAAGTCCTTAGTAGGGATTGTAATCGGGGGGTACTGTAATCCCTATTCAGGACTGTTAGTGGAAGGGGGAACATCCCAAACTACAGGGCTCTAAACCCTAAGCCCTAAACCCTATAAACCCTATAAACCCTATAAACCCTATAAACCCTATAAACCCTATAAACCCTATAAACCCTATAAACCCTACACAACCCTATAAACCCTATAAACCCTATAAACCCAAAACCCTAACTGGGCTTCTCTTGAGGCGGCATGCGGGCGAGCGCAGAGCCCTCCAGGCCGGTCGTGAGAGGGCTGTGGGTGTAAAGTTCTGAGGAGGGCTAAGGCTTAGGGGTGTAGGGTTTAGGGTTTAGGGTTTAGGGTCTGGGGTTTGGGGTTTAGGGTTTAGGGTTTAGGGCTTCGGGCTTAGGGTCTAGGGTTTAGGGTTAAGGGCTTTGAGTTTCTTGGGAATCTACGGTTGTTGAGCCATGCCCGTTCCTTGGAATGGCCACTTCAAGAGAAGGTTGAAGAGGCTTAGGGCTTCGGGTTTGGGGACAGTGGTGGGCTGCAGTGAGCAGCTCTGTTCGGAAGCTTTACCCTAAACCCTAAACCTCCAGCAGGTCTCTGATTTTGCAGAGTCGCGGGTTTCCCTGGTACCAGACAAGGTGGAGGATTGGATTCCGAAAGGGCTCAATGATCATCTAGATCTTCGGGACCTGGGGTCCCTAAACCAATCCTAAAGGCTTTTGCAACCGTTTGCTGGCTGCTGGCCCTTCCAATGCAGGTTTGGGGTGTTTAGGGCTTAGGGCTTAGGGCTTACTAGCAACCACTTGCCCTTTGAGCCCATAGGTGTCAAGAGTCCTGCAGTCCTCGGAAGGCGACGGTGGCAGACCTCAAGCGGCAGCGCAAGAAGCTTCCGAAACCCGACCGTCACTAGGGGGTTTAGGGTCTAGGGTTTAGGGTTTAGGGTTTAGGGCTTCTGAAGCTTGTAAGATGATTCGGGCGGGCACTTGAGGGTGTTTTTGGGATGTCCCCCCTTCTACGAACAGTCCCTTCTAGGGCTTATAATAGGGAGTACTATAAGCCCTATTCAAGAGCTCTTAGTATAAGAAACATCGTCCCAAGGTATATAATAAGTCCTTTCACAAGGGTTTGGCTTCATCACCCGCCGAACGGCGCACCTCCAGGGCTCTGTTCTTATTTTCTATTCTTCGACCTTTAGGGTTTTGGGTTTAGGGTTTAGGATTTAGGGTTTAGGGTTGTTTTCAGCGTTCGATGCCCGTAAGATGACCGTGGCACCTGGTGTGTACGGAAGGTCCGTTGCCACAACAGCTATGATTAGGGACCCAAAAAGGACATAAGCATAAGAATTTCATAGGGATATCCCTGCCTTATTGGGCTTCAGTATAGGGGGGTTTATATGGGATATCCCTATCCTACTTTTTGCTGATGCGCTTTTTTGGGACCCTATATGAACCTGAGTGGCGATATAGCTGAGGCACCAGGTTTCGATTTGCAAAGCCATCCTTCTTTGTAACGCCAGTGGCCCAGGAAGAAGAGCAAAAAGGACGACAAGAAGGCCGGCACGGCAACCCAAACCCAAAAAAGTGCGAACGTGAGCCATTTGAAGCAGCCAGATTATATTTTTTCATTCAGCTCCCTCAAGTGTGTCCGAGAGGTCAGCGAGGGAGGTGGCAAGAAAAAAAACAAAAAGCGTGCCACGTGGGCCCTGGCACTCTGTCTCTCAAGACAGCTGCGAGCCCCCCAAAGTCCCTCTGAGGTAGGCCCTTGGTACATCTTATGTTTTCTCTTGTTGGGTTTAAGAGGATCATAAATCCCTAAACCTTAAACCTTAAACCGGCTGTGTGCGAGTGTGAGCGTCGAAACCTTAAACTCTCAACCCTAAACCCTAAACCCTAAACCCTAAACCCCAAACCCTAAACCCTAAACCCCCTCAACCCTAGAGGGTTTTCTGGGCCATCCTAGAGTCAGAGGAGGTTTAAGCAGCGGGATCCCCTTGTTTCAGGAACCCCAATACATCTTTCAGAACCCTGATCTTCTACAGGGTACGAGGGGGTGATCCTTTTTCCTTGACTTTGTCATAGTTGGGGAACATTATACATTTTTAAGGGTACTTAAACCCAATAAGGAATAAAAGTCTAAATTTTTAATATTATCCCAACAATGAACTGGTTGAAAGGCAAGGGGGTTTGGTTCAGGGAAGTTCCGGAGGCACTCACGGACGAGATCAAGCAGATGACAGGCCCACCGTCTCGTGCTTCTCGCGCTGGGGGGGGGGGGTTTGCTGTGGTTTTGCCGGTCGCATTCGGGCTTCCTTCCGTACAGGCTTTCTCAGAGAGGACGTCAGCTCAGCTTATAATTGTGGTTGCAATGCCCTACTTCAACATCTGGCCAAGCGGTTGCTGCTCCTGGGTTTTCGATCCACTGAGAACCCCAACTAAGCCTTGCCACGTCGGCTGCACACGCCGTGATCATCGTCTCGAGCACGCCCGTGATTTCGGTTGCAAGCCTCTCAGCCCAGATAACCCTAAACCCTCATTCCTAAACCCTAAACCCTAAACCCTAATCAGGAGCACTTCAAGCGCTTACGACTATAACTCCAAGCCAAGATTACCTGGAGGCTAGGCAAGTCTACACAACATATATACACAACGAGTCACTATCATTAACGTTACTGATGTTATTCAAAGTCATAAAAGCTTACACTCACTCAGTTTTGTTGCATCATGTCGCATAGTTTACCCCGCTTCGCTGTGGCTAGTCGGGTGGCAGACAAAACCCTCTACATAGTACTGTTGCATACTTGAAGGATGTCTTTTGTGGCTCTGTCGTGCAGCGACTGAGATGAGCTTCGGAAGCGGCACGCTGCAGAGCTCGGCGGCATCGGTGCGCAGGAGCTCCCAGTTGACTTAGGGTTTAGGGTCTAGGGTTTAGGGTTTAGGGTGAAGAGGACCATCGTTATGCCGTGAGGTTTGCAGACATCTCTCGATGAGTTTGTGCGGCTGGGCTGCGCAAATGTGCGGCTTGGTGCTCCCAGCTGATGCTCGAGTCCGGGTTCTAAAATAGGTGCAGGGTAACACTTCACACCTTGCCGCGTCAAGAAGTGGTCTGGAGTGGTTCGAGAGCTATTGGCTGTTGCTGAGCTTTGTCAACGGAGGACGCGGAAGACGACGATGATGCTCAGGAAGACGATGAGGAGCAGATGTCAGAAGATGTGTGAGCTCAGACAAAAAGGGGCGATTTCCGTAGCAGCGTGAGCCAGATGGGGGTCCCGATGCCTCGACACGCCTGCGTTCAAGCAGATTGCCCTGCATAACATGGTATATCAGGCTTTCAGATGCTATGCATAACACGCATGAATATACATATAGGCACAAATAAAAAGACATACAGACTGCGTACAGAGAATTCAATAAGTATAAACAGATACACACACACACACATATATATATACACATAGGTATACATATAAATAGACATACAGACACACATAGATATGTATATATACATAGATTTATCTATTCATTTACACACACACATATATATATATAGACACATACATAATTAAGTATATATACGTATATCTATAAATATATCTATATCTATATCTATATCTATATCTATATCTATATCTATCTATGTATATATATATATATATATATGTATCGCTATGCCCGGTTGCTTAGCGCATGTTGTACTCTCAGGATCCTGGCGCAGCTGTCTTGGATCTCAGAGCAGCACTTCGCATGTCAGGAGTCAGCTGTAGTAACATGGGCCAACATGGGTTTAGGGTTTAGGGTTTAGGATTTAGGGTTTAGGGTTTAGGGTTTGGGGTTCCGGGTTTAGGGTTTAGGCTTGTCGAATCGGCGTGTGGCATAGCGGCCATGGCAGTGGCCGAGGGGCTCGCCAGCGCCGGGGCTCGCGGCTTAGACCGTAAGGTTCGCATTGCCGACATATGTCCTGAAGTCCTGAACCACTACGTAAACCCATACCGGGAATTCGAAAACCGAAGGCCTGAGCCCTTGTCAGCTCCCTGATTGTGGATGAGGTGCACTTCTCCCCATGGCGGGTCTTCGCGCCTGTCTATCTCATCACGCTGCTGTATGTCCGGCCTGCAGAAGAGTAGGGCAGCTCACAGCCTGAGGGTTTAGGGTTTAGGGTTTAGGGTTTAGGGTTTAGGGTTTAGGTAGGGTTTAGGGTTTAGGGTTTAGGGTTTAGGGTTTAGGGTTTGGGGTGGCGAGGTCCCAATACAGATTTAGATTGCTCTGGGTCTAAGTAATGGGAGGATCCACCAATTCAGACCCTGGCCAGGGTGTCTGTCTGCGATTGTCGTCTGCAAGCCCCTGAACCCAAAACCAAAGCCAGATCATCCATTGCAAAACCCACATCGGATCATCCATTGAGTGCGCCTAGACCCTAAACCCTAAACCCTGTGCAAGTGAGCCAGAGATGCATGCCAAGGGGCTCACTTGGTGAACCTGGGTTTACCGTTTACAAGGACCATTGAGATGAAATCAGACTGCTGTGCTCACTCGGCGCTCCCACAGTGTTCCAGGGTATGCGGGTATTTGAGCTTTGGTCGAACACTCTTCAAGTTCGCGACGACGAACGCAACATCCACAGCTGGCATACCACAAGAAAAGTATAGAAATCTTAATTGTATCCCAGTAGGCTTTTCATATTTTTGTCCACGTTGCGCTGAGGCGGGCTTTTCTTTTCCTGCGGCTGCGCTGCTGGCAGCACGCTCCTCAGAACTGCTTTCATTGACACTGCATGCTCCTGGGGGACTTGCCAGGCAGTAGCATCCCCGAGGCATGCCATAGAAAAATCACCCTAAAGCCTAAACCCATAAAGGCGTGCATTGTTACAAGCACATAAAAAGAGTAGGAGTCTGTTCTCGGAGGTTCATGGGTAGCTGTAAGTACGGTTAGAAGTATGCTAACTATACTTATAACCTTTTTTTTTGGGTGGGGGGGGGGGAGGAGGGGGTACTTCTAAACCTACTTATAACTACCCATGTACCTCCTATAGTACCTCTATTTCAATAAGGACTGTTAGTAAAAGGGGGAACATGAATATATCGGGTACTGATCGCCCTACTTATAATGTATAGCTATGCTTATAACCTGTTTTTGGCCTCCTATAGTCACCCCCTGTGATAATCCCTACTAAGGACTGTTAGTAGTACAAGGGAGAAAGCCCTTGTACCCGAAACCCTGTTAATACCCCAAGAGGATTCCTTTGAAGTGCAACCCTCAACCCTAAGCCCAAAGCCCTAGACCCTAAACTCTAAACCCATAAGTAATTCCCATGAACCTCCAAGTTGAGGTGACCCTAAACCCTAAATCCTAAACCCTGAACCCTGAACCCTGAACCCTGAACCCTGAACCCTGAACCCTAAACAGTCAGGTGCTGCTGCCCAGCATGGCCTTCGAGTTGTCCCTGACCTGGAAGACCGCCCTCGCAGTGGTCGTCGTCTCGGCCGTGAGCTTCAGAGCGCCGACCCAAGCTTCAAGTCGTGACAGAAAGTGCTTTATGGGGTTTTGGGTTTCGGGTGGCAGGCAGTGCAGCAGTCCCAGCCGTAAAAAAGGGTTTAGGGGTTGGGGCTTAGGGTTTAGGGCTTAGGGGCTATACCCTAGGTCAAGTGGCATAATATGCAGGGCTTGGAGGACCCGAAGACCTACGTATAAAGCCCTTATGCAGGTGTCGAAACCCCACAGCGACGTGAATCATCGTTGCAAGCCTGACTGATGGGGAGCAGTGCAGTCTGACCAGCCCGAACCGTGCAGGCACAGGGACAGTGCTCAGTCTTTTTTGGAGTGCCCAACCCCAGAGTGTCCCTGGAGTGCCCAGCCCCAGAGTATCCCTGGAGTCCAACCCTAGGGTATTTCCAAACCCCAGAGTCTCAGCCCCAAAGTCTCCCCATAGAGTCTTCCTGAATTCCCAACACCAGATTGTCCCGTGCCCAACTCCAGAGTCTCCCTGAAGTGCGTGTCCCCGAGTGCCCAGCCCTTGTATCTGTCTGGAGTGCCCAACCCCAGAGTCTCCTGGAGTGCCCAACCAGAGTACCAAACTCTCCTGGTGCCCAACCCTATCCCAGAGTTTCCCTGGAGTGCCCAACCCCAGAGTCTCCTTGGAGTGGCAGTGTCCTTGGCCCGGAGTACCCAAACCCAGAGTCTTTCTGGAGTGCCCAATTTCAGAGTGTTCCCGGAGTGCCCAGCCCCAGAGTTTTTTCTGGAGTGCCCAACGCCAGAGTGTCCCCGGAGTGCCCAACCCCAGAGTATCTCTACCAAGAGAGGGTGGGGATGTTCGAAGTAGAATAATTTAAAGAGATCTAAGCAGCAGTAGCAAGAAAAATGAACCAAAACCTGCATCCTAAAGCATGAATGACCGGGCCCCATACTCCTGACCTGGTGCCGCCGTCAGTATGCCCCGCGGAAAACCCTCAACCCTATCCTATCCGCGAACCCTAACCCTAAACCCTAAACCCTAAACCCTAAACCCTAAACCCTAAACCCTCTAAATCAAAAGCAGGTGGCCAAGGAGCCGCCTCCCAGCTGCAATAGCTGCGCGGCCTTAGGGTTTTTTAGGGTCTCCCTAAGTCCTCAACTCTGGGATTTAGGGTTTAGGGTTTAGGGTTTAGGGTTTGGGGTTTGGGGTTTGGGGTTTGGGGTTTGAGGTGTAGGGTTTATGCTGGCAAATCAACCCCTTTGTTACAAGAAAGGGTTATTAGGGTGTGGAAAGCAGAGGCACTGCAATCCAGCCACGCGTTATTCCTAGGTGCAAAGTTTAGGGTTTAGGGTTTAGGGTTAGGGCAAAAAGGGTTAGGGCAAAGAACCAACCCCATGTTAAGCCATGCAGTCGTAGGCGGAAGCTCTCTCGAAGCGCCTATTTCATCCTATCTCATCAATAGGTCCCCAGAAGGAACTTGCAAAAGGGTTTAAGGCTAAGGGTTTAGGGTCATAGAGAAAGATTGAAGGTGTTAGAGGATTCGGGCTTAGGGTCTTCTATCATTCTAGAAGGGTTTTGGGCTATCTGTGGGGTGTCTAGCGTTAAATGCAACAGGAAGGCTTGTTTGCCAGGAGGGCCCTGGGTTGCTTCTCTTTTTTTCTCCCTACATGCCTAAGAGGAGCTTTAAGAGGCGAACACAGATTAAAATCGGTGAAGGCCCCAGACCGTCCCGACCAGAACGATCCAGTTTGGAAAAGGAGATTTGTTTCCCTAAACCCTGAACCCTAAACCCTAAACCCTAACAATGGAGGCACAGGGAGACACATCCCACTGGAAGACCGGCAGAGCTCAGAAGGAATTGAGACCCCCCACAGTCTAGTGTTTGTTGCAGAAGTAACCTTGTCATTATAACTGTGACCCTCGTTCTTCGTTTTTGGAAGATCCTGAAGCGATTCCGTATGAGAGATGACGATGCCAGCATAGAACCTTCCAAACGACCAGACTCTAAACCCTAAGCCCCAAGCCCCAAGCCCCAAGCCCCAAGCCCTAAACCCTAAACCCTAAACCCTAAACCCTAAACCCTAAACCCTAAACCCTAAGCCCTAAGCCCTAAGCCCTAAACCTTAAACCCTAAACCCTAAACCCTAAACCCTAAACCCTAGCAAGCTCTGAAGTGGATTTTGGAACTGCAGGGCCGCCCAGACGGCTGCCAAGTTTTTCCGTGACAGCGCTCGCTCAAGGCTCCGTCAACGGGGTCTCCAGGGCAGGCTTCTCTGCGCGGAAATAGGGTTTATTTAGGGTTTATTGGGTTTAAATAGGGTTTATAGGGTTTATAGGGTTTATGGGGTTTATAGGGTTTATAGGGTTTATAGGGTTTATAGGGTTTAGGGTTTGGGGTCGTGACTGTTCCTAATGCCACGGAGTTTCAGTTAGCCCCCCAGCCGTTATGCAAAGGATATCTTGATTAAAAGGCTCTTGGCAAGGCTGAGCTGAACTTGTGTGTGATTGATGCTCCTAGGCTTCAGGCACCCGCACCCCACAAGCCTAGCACCCCTTCTCTGAAAAAATAGTCCCTCATATGACACAAACCCCCCAATAGATAGAATCTACTAGATGATCGAACGCGGATAGAATGCCAGAATCCTAAACCCTAAACGCTCTGAACCCTGGGCCTGGAACCCTGGAACCTTAAGCCCTAAACCCTAAACCCTAAACCCTAAACACTCTGAACCCCGGTTCCTGATCTGCCCCGGACAGGCTTGGGACGAT